TAATTATTTGATTGAGTCGATCCTTTTTAATTGATTTCGTTTCCTTACAGACGCATTATTGTTCCTCCTCACAGATATCGGGGCTAGAGAAACAGTTGGAGGCTCATGTGGTAGAAAACGGTGAAAACTTCTCAGTGGGTGAACGGCAGCTCATCTGTATGGCCAGGGCCTTGCTCAGGAACAGCAAGGCGAGTATCGGCCAACCACGGGTCGGCCTGAAGTTGAACATGTCATAACCATGTCCGTAAGTGAGGCTTATTTTCGTTACCAGGGCCATGCATGATCATGTACACTTGATCAGTATGGATTTTAACACCTGCATTTACGTAATGTTTTGCTTGGCTTTCTTTACGTTGAGTGGGTGTCAGGATCACCATCTACACTTCATTGAGCAGAGACGGGGGACGTTACAAACTTCAGCAGTTTTGACTACAGGTCACCTGTTACTTGTGAATGATTCCTTGCATTGATGATGACGATTTAGGTAACAGTTTCCGTTAACTTGCTTCTACATGATATCTTTAGACGAAAGTTAGGCTTTCCTTTGCAATGCCTGCTGTTTAGATCATTCTACTTGACGAGGCAACAGCAGCCATCGACTCAGAAACAGACAGCCTGATACAGAAGACCATCCACGAGGCCTTCACAGACTGCACCATGTTAACCATAGCTCATCGACTCAACACCGTGCTGAACAGCGACCGTATCATGGTCATGGAGGATGGAAAGGTACGCTGTAGGTTCATGTACTTGTGGGGGAAACTCTCTGCGTACATTTAGAAACAGTAAACGTTAAGACTTGTGTGTGGAGGGAGTTTGTGACGTGTGTAGGTGTGCGCCTTTGTGGGTATGTGTGTGAGGTGTGTGTCTCTGTGTAAGTGTCCATGTGCACGCACACATGTATTTGTTTGTGCCTGTATGTGCATTGTGTGTGCACTGTGGCAGCTGAACTGTGTATGTATGTATGTATGCATATACGTATGTGTGTCTGTATCTGTGTGCCTGTTTGCATATATGTGTTTGCGTGAGTATTCACTCAAACGTGTAAGTGAGTGAGTGAGTGAGTGAGTGAGTGAGTGAGTGAGTGAGTGAGTGAGTGAGTGGCAGAAGCAGGGTAGTGAGAAGTTACCACTAACGTACCTCTCGATGTTCACATCTCTCCACACGTCTGTTCCAGCTGGTGGAATTTGACCCCCCAGCGGTTCTCATGTCCGACCCCAACTCACGCTTCAGTGCCATGATGGCGGCCGCCGGAAGTGAAGTCAACAAATACCTCACAAACAACCCTCTACCGGATGTAGAAGAAGCAGACGAGGAAGAGGATACAAAGTTGTAGATGACTAGTATGTTGTGGGACAAGTATTGTCGTCAGTTTGTATATCAGTCACCAAGGGTTTATATATTTCTATAAATAGTCCAGAGAAAAGATGCGTATCAACTTAGTAAGCATCTGTAACTTTTTCGTTTGTTTTTACTGTTTTATTATGTCAATATAAGTGATGCAGATTGTAACATGCAGTATCAAAAACCAACAGGGACAGTATTATTACAGAAAATTTGTGGTGAAGATGAATGAGATACTAAAGCGGCGAGAGCAATTATTAACCATAACTGTTACAACTAATCGTTAGTTTTTCCAGTGAACAGTCTATGAGCTGAACAAGTATATACATGTATATATGTTTTGTTATTTTGTGGGAGGGACTAAGTTATGTCATTATTTATGTATACGGAGCTGTGTTACATTTTTGTATTTCTGTCATGCCTTAACATAAGTTTTGTTTTCGCGATTTTAGATAATAAAATAAATACTTGTGTCATGATAACACCAAACAAAAAAGACAAGGGATGGAATCGAAAGACCGCAATATGTTTCGTTACTGACTGTTGTTGAACAAAGTGCAGTTATATCATCATAGACTCATTGTAAAGTTGTACTCAATAACTGCATTTCTGCTATTTTGCGAATTCGAATAAGGGTGCTGCTACAGACGTTAATATTTCTACATATCAAAGCCATACTGTCTGATGCGCAATTTATGAATGTCAGGGATACTTCATAACTTTGCTATGAAAGTTCTCAGATCACAGGACTTCCAACACTGGCTACCGCCCAGGAGGGGCACCACCATTGAGCGCACCACTCGTTCCAGTAACAAACTGACCCTTACCAAATGTAGAACTGAGCGGTACAAACAGAGTAGCGTCCCATACATGACCTACCTCCTGAACAGTCACTATTTGTGTTAGACACCGTACGTTAAAGTCGTTGTAAATAATGCCTGTGTTAATGCCTGTGTAAATAAATGTAAATAAATGTGTAATGAATTTGCATGTACAACTGGACGCAATTCAGCCTTTGGCTGCAAAGTCCACGTTTTTTTTTTTTTTTTTACGAATAAAACACCATTTGAGAAAAAATAAGGACTGTATACTAATAAGGACTGTAGAAAAAGAATGCTGGTCTTTCTTGTGGAATGGAAAGAAGGATAAAATTTGTAGAAAGTGTATGATAGGAGAATACTGTGAAGGAGGTATACAAATGGTGGACCTGAGATCTCAGATACAGGGCTTTCTAGCCAGTTGGGTAAAAAGACTTTGTCAAGGGCCAAATGCCCAATGGAAACTTATTGCCAGGGTTTATTTAAATGAGTGTGGTAAGGAAGACATGTTGTTTAGGATGAACTTTTGTTTGAAAAATGATTGTCCAGAACTTCCTACTACTAGTATGCCAACTTTTTACAAGAATGTTATACTGGCTTGGCACTCAGCAGGTGGGGGTGTCAAACAGGAACCACAAACTATGAGTGAAATAATAAATGAAATAATATGGGGAAACCAATACATTAAACTTGACAATAGAACGTTATACTATAAAAACTGGATTAAATCAGGTATCGTAAAAATTCAAGATGTCTTCCTACAAGGCAAGTTTATTACGGCACAGAATTTGTTAGTAAAGCTGAACGACACCAGGAACTTTCTGGCAGAACATAATAATCTTTGTATGGCTATACCAAAACATTGGAAAATGTCTTTGAGTGTGATGAGTAAATATGGGGAACAACAGTGTTTGGGAACACAGCAACTTGGAATTTTTAATACTACTTTTGTTCCTTTAGAGAAATTGACATCCAAGATATTATGCAATAAGATAAAAGCAAAAGAAACAAGACAAAGTAAATGTATTGATGACTGGAGTGAAACACTTGATGTTACAAATTTGGATAAGAAATTGTTATGGAAAAATTTAGTAGTAAATATTAAAGAAAACAAATTGAAAGAATTCAATTTCAAGCTATTGCATAATATTCTTCCATGTAGAGTGAAACTGAACCAATGGAAAATTAGGAATCAAGCTGGTGAAGTATATAGTCCAATGTGCTCACTATGTAATGTTAAGGAAACCTACATTCATATGTTTGTTAATTGCAAAAGGTTGGGGAGCTACTGGCAAAATGCTGAAAATAGATTGACCATTTATCATGGCACTAGAATTAAGCTAAACAATTTGTCAATTTTTTTTGGAATGGATCAAAATTTGGAAGTCTTAGATACAAATATCATTCTGGCGATCACTGTAGCTAAATTTGTCATTTACAAATCCTGGCTGGAATCTAAAGATAAGGATAGCATTCAACACAACCTATTTTATTTCTTTGTAACTGAGATGTCCTTTAGACATCTATAATTCTGTTCAGTGCATCGTATGTTGTGTATATGTGTATATTTTGTAAATATTTTGTGGCTTGGTCAATAAAATTTTGAAAAAAAAAGGGATACTTCATGCGAACCAAAATTATGAATAAAACGTATATAGCGCTCATCATCTGTCCTATTCTTGACTTTGCATGGATGGATTTACTCGTATACAGAAGATCTAAGCCTTTTAAATTAAGGACCAATACAAATGGAGTGTTCTACTGGTTCGTTACAAGGTCACGTCATATACAGAAGTGGTTGTAATCAAAGCTGGATATATATACACCGATTGATGTTGTTCACACATTTTGGAGCAAGTTTGGTTTTCAAAAATTAGCTTTTGCATTTCGCAATTCATTTCAACCACAAACATCCAACGATGTAGTCTCTTCCATCTATACTACCCACAATGCTCTAGTCTAACGTCACGTTCCGAGAGTAAGCTTCCTTAGGAGAGAAACACACCCAGTAGCAAGACAGACACGAACTTGGCGTGAAGATTTATATTGGATAAAACATTATCACGTAATCTCTCTTTTTACATAATATACATATACACATATATACATAAATCACATATCACTCTTTTTTTACAATATACATATACACATGCACGTATTTATACATATAAAATCGTGTAGTATTTATAAAGGATTTTGAATGCGTGAAGGAAGCTACGTAGCATTAGATCCATTTCAATCGAGCTGTTTACACATTGATGGAGAATTCCTTATATTGGCTTTGAAAGGAAACGTACCTAAGAACAGTCGCATGTAGCTGACAAAATAACACTTCTTAAGGGAACGTGTCTGTGTACTGTGGATCGAGTACTTTACAGCATACACTACCATTGGTAAAACAACTTTAAATTCAGTTGCAAGGCATCCATATATACAATGGTAGTGTCTAGCCGCCTAACCTCTATAGATACGACTATAATTGCGTCCCTTCGCTGCGCAGTTTTTGTATGATTTGAGAATTTTTTGGCTTTTCTAAAAATATTCTATGCGAGCTTCAGGTAGAAGAAACATGAAAGCGATATCGATGAATACTTGAAGCATTTCTTTCTACCTTAGGTTTTTTTCTGTGTCAATAGAGTATGTGTGAAGCATGTGTGAAGCATGTGTGAAGCATGTGTGAAGCATGTGTGAAGCATGTGTGAAGCATGTGTGAAGCATGTGTGAAGCATGTGTGAAGCATGTGTGAAGCATGTTTGCCACAACTCATTTCATTCAACACATAAAACGTGAGTTCATGTAAGTTTTTTGCCACGGCGAGAACATTTTTAAGTCGACAAATCATTCACTCGTGTCGCTCTCTTCTCCCGATAGCCTCGATCGAATCGAATCCTTGACCCTTGTGAAGCCCCCTTTGATTTTGCCGACTAGTTTGGTGGGGGTTAGCTTGCCGCCAGACTTCTGAGAGGTGCTTGGCTCTTCCTCTTTTGATTTCATGATGGCGAGCGTAGGCACTCCCTTGTGCCCATAGCGCGTCAGGCCCTTCTTCTTTTCCTTCTCCCTCTGCATTTCAGGAGGAAGCGGCGGGCCAAAGACCGGTTTTCCGTTCGGGAGGTCCGATTTGTGCTCGACTGTATCTTGCTTCTTTGCCGCCTGCTGTTTCATCGCCATCTCTCTCGCCTCCCTATCTATCTTCTGCTCCCTTTCTTTCCTTGACTGGAACATGCGAGCGAATTTTGAGGGTTTCTTCACGGTTGGCGAAGCTCCCTGTACCTTTTTCTCGTCTACGGGAGACTCTTCGTCGACCGTTTCCAATTGCCCCGTTTCCAGTTGCTCCATATTGGCCTTTACCATAGCGTACGCCTTTTTCTCCAAGGCCATCCAGTACTCGTCGTCATGTAGATCCTCCTTTGAGATGGGCTTGTCCAAGTCTATCTCGTATTCACTGTCTTCTGACGAGTCGAAGAAGTCCATCTCCAGTTTCTTCGGAACCAGTCCCGTGCCCGGCCTGCTCGCTCTGGACACGCCTGTTGCCGTCCCGTAGTGCCCCGGCAACATGACCGGTGACCGATCCACGCCGTACTTCACTTGTTCCTGGATGCCGGGCCGTTTGTAGCTGGCTGCGGCCACCCCGGACCCAGTCCGCCGGAGGTCTGTCTTAGACCGATCCTGGCGGAGCCGTGCTCTCTCACGTTCTTCTGGGTCCTCAATATTCCACCATGGCTTTTCACGGTCTTTGGAGAACCTTCTACCCCAGTACTCGTCAACTTCAGCATCGAGCTTCGCTCTTTCTTCATCAGTGTACTTCTTTATCCCAGACGACACCCATGCGTCCGGACGTTTACGCTCGGGGGGTTTATATTCGGTCTGTGCCCTGAACTGTCCTGCCGTCGGTGTGGTCTGGGCGCTTGAAGGTCTTGCCGCAGCCGACTCCTTCTGAGGAGTCCTTGGCGTATCGGCGGAGTCATTGGCCGGTTGTGTACTCTTCATAGACGCCGGTCCGGTCTGGGCGCTTGAAGGTCCGGCCGTAGCAGACTCCTTCAGGGGAGTCCTTGGCCTATCGGCGGAGTCCCTAGCCGGTTGTGTACTCTTCGTAGATGCCGGTCTGTTCTGGACTCCTTCGGACTAGTTTGTACGTCTTGCTGACAGGGAAGTTGTCCCCACCACGGGAGTTTCCCGCTTAACAGCGGTAACCTGAATCGGTATCGGTTGCGGAATTTTCGTGGGTGGGTGCGCGGTCTGCTTTTCTGTTGTCTGCATGTCTGCTCGTCTTGCTGACAGTGCAGGTGTCCCCATCACTGGGGTTTTCCGCCGAACAGCCGTAACTTGAATCGGTTGCGGAATTTTCGTGGGTGGGTGCGCGGCTTGCTTGTCTTCTGTCTGCAGGTCTGCTCGTTTTGCTGACAGGGTTTTCCGCTTAACATCCGAATCTTTGATCGTTTGCGGAATTTTCGTCGGTGGGTGCGCGGCTTGTGTGACAGACGTCTTGTCTGTTGACTGCACGTCGGCACGTTTTGCTGACAGTGCAGTTGTCCCCATCACAGGAACTTTCCGCTGGACATCCGTTCCTTTACTCGGTTGCGGAATTTTCGTCGGAGGGTGCGCGGTCTTGTCTGTTGACCTTACCTCGGTCCGTTTTTCGGACAGTGCAGTTGTCCCCATTATGGGATCTTTCCGCTTAACAGCAGTATCTTTGATCTGTTGCGGAATTTTCGTAGGCGTCAATTTTGCTGTTTGGTCTCCGGTTTGTCCAGCTTGCGGCGCTTTTGCTCCTTTCTGTGTGCTCTTTGCCCCGACATCTTTAGATGCAGTAGAAGGCTTCTTAGCATCCTTGGGCGGGGTGGCCTTTGTCTTGGGACTTCCCCATTCATTGTCGTCGCCAACAAGGGCTTCCCAAACTTTCTGGGAGTACTCTTTTTGAGTCTTCTCCCTTTTGCCTCCCTTCACAGTGCCCTTCTGTGTTTGAGCAGCAGGCTCAGCCGAGCCCTTTACTGACTGCTTGTCAGCTTTTGCAGCTGTGGATTCAGGGGGACTTGTACCATCCGTTGTCCGCGTGTCCACGTTTTCCGACGGAGTCCGACCGCGGCGTGCGGACGACTCTGCCGCTCCTGACACCGACACCGCCTCAGCCGCAGGCTGGCGCCGCATCTCTGGCGTCACGATCACCTTCGGTTCCGGCAGCTTCCGTGAAGATGTTTGCTGGGTCGAATAGGCTTTCTCCCCCGGTTGTCTGTAAGGATACTTCCGCTCGCTGGTTTTACTTGGTTTCCTAACCAGCGGAATCTGCGAGGCTTTGTTGTCCGATCGGGACTGTACCAGACGGGGATGGGTGCGAGGATCCTTGCGCGGTGACCTATGGTAGATGGGGACAGGCCTCTCTGTTGGATTGTATCGCCAGTGGATCTGTTTGAGAGTCATCCGTAGACACGATCTCCACGGGGAGTAACTCTTCAGAACACACTGACCCTGAGTCTTCAACCAAGTTCCTCATTGAGGTCGACATCAGCAGTTGGTTGAGACACGCGTCGATTTTGGCAATATCCTCGTTTGCTTCTTTTCTCAGTTCCTCAACTTCCTCCGGGGAAAACTTCGACGCGTTTTCCTCGATTGCGAGGAGTAAATCGGTTGAATCCCTTCTCGCGATGTGGAGCTCTAAGGACATTTCCCTCCGCTGGGTGAAACGGTCCACTTTCTGCGCTATCTCATGTCCAAACGTGCCCTTGTGTTGGACATACGGTTTTGGGACAAAAACCTTTTCTGGCAAAGGCGGGGGGTCTGGGATGTTTGTGCAGAACTTGGTTGTTTTTGCACCGACACCGACTTCTGTCGTGCCGTGTCCATCGCCCTCGTCATGCCGAGCTTTCTTCTGAGGCAAGTTTGACCCCTGCGTGGGGTATATCGTCATGACAGTGTACTGGCTGTTTGGATCCGGTACTGGCTGCCTGGCACCAGCACCAACCAGATCCAGCAGTGGCCCCGGTAACGCCTGGGAGACTTCCTGCCCAGAGAAGCCTGAGAGAACTCGTCTGGATTCAAACGAGATTTCGGAAATCAGAAGTTCCATGGGTGGCAGCGCTGGAGGGGGTGGGACCAGTCCGGATCCATGTGAGATTCAGGACATCAGTAACTCCATAGGCGGCAAAGCCGGGGGCGAGGGGACTCGTCCGAATCCTACCCCATGCACCCGCGGGTGTATCACGGCTTGTGCAAGACTTGCCCGCCTGAGTTGCTCCCGAGTCGGTAGCGGTGGCGGTGCAGGGATGTGGTCAGCCTCCATAGTAGCCAATGTTTCGCTGGCTTCTGCCACATTTTCCACCGTTTCGTCACCCTTTCTGACCTTAGCCTTGTGCGTCATTTTGTTAGAAGCTGTCGTGCTCCTCATGAAGGTACCGCCACCTGACTTAAAAGACGTCACCAAATTTGACGCTTTTAGGCACAATCCGTTCATGTATCTGAGATGAAAAGTTGGCGCGGGCCTCAAAAGCCCACCACCCCACCTCCTCTCCCCAGTCTGAATCTGTAGGGACTAGCGGCATGGGGTACACTCAACGTTCTTGAAAAAAAAATTCACTAAAAATCGTCCTTTAGGAATATGAAAAAATCCAAACGTGAAGTTTTTACTATGACTATCATGCACATTTCTAAAAAATATTGTGACTTTTTACTGAAGCACTAGCTTGAAAATGCTATTTTTCTAAAAAAAAAAGGGCATGGCCTCAAAACTATTGATGACGTCATCGTGACGTCATAACATTTTGCATGAATTATCATCTTGCAACAAGACACTTTGTGACAAAAGTCCGTACTTAACTGCAACATGTACTTTTAGAACACCCCAAAAGTCCTCAGGGTGGGTTATTTAGTACCTTAAGCGACGGTCACAACCCGCCGTACGTGCTTCTGCGTGCTGTCTACGTGCAAAAACGTGGGCAAACGTAGGGCATCCGTGCGTGGTGAGTACCACCTCCGTACGGAATCCTACGGATTTGGGAGCACGCAGACACGCCGTAGAACTTTAAATGCATGTATAACTTTTTCTACTTGCGGTCTGCGGATTCACCACCCGTGCGTGCGAGTACGAGCGACGCGCGTGCCCCGTACGTGCCGTGCGGAAGAAACACGTGTGAATACGGCCTCCTTACGGTAAAGTTGCAATCGCACGGAGATCGTACGTTGTAAGCACGTACAACTCACTTACCACTTGCGCAACGTACGATGCACGCAACCGCTCACGGCCAGACGTGGCGTGCAGACCACACTCTTACACTTTGTGCAACCGTGCGAGTGACGTGCGAGTGACGTGCGTCGACGCCACTCCTTCCCCACGTTTTCAGAAAAAAAAGTAGCAGACGTAGCCTCCCAAAAAACGTACGGACAAAAAGCACGCACGGCGGGTTGTGACCGTAGCTTTAAGGAAGCAACGCATGGCGTGGAAAGACAGTGATTTCAAATGGCATGCCTACCACCAGCTCACCACCCGGTCCCATAGCGAAACCCCAAGGGGATGTATCGTTCGCGATGGTACGGACAAACTCACCACGCCTGGTGAACATGTCTATCCGGCTGTCATTAATGTTTACCACGATAATCCGACCCAAGGTGTCCAGACAAATACCAGTATACAGTCCACATGTACCTCGTCTAACAGTGCTTCCAAATTCAAATAACTTGTCTCCGGAGTGACTATACACCATAACGGTTTTCCCGTTTGTAATCAGGATATTTCCCTCGCTGTCCGATGTGATTCCCCCTATCGTAGCGGGAGCGTTAAAACTACGATAGACGGAGCCGTTTGGATGAATCATCGTTACTGTATCCCTGTATCCCACGATGATTTTATTGTTTGCACATGTCTACGGCAATGACGGCATGGAAACAAGGTTCCACGACGCGTACTTTAAACGCCTTTATTGGCGCGCCGTTCCTACTGTACTGTACGACATCGATATATCCGTTATTGGCTTCGCCGTTTATTCGCCCTGCGACCCACAGGTAGCCAGGCTCTACGCCAATGGCAACGTCTCTTGGTAGAATGTCGACGGCACCGTTTTCACCCGGAAGCACCGTTGGGAAGGTGCGGAGATAGGTCCCATTCATGCTGAAGACATGAAGAGCTTTAGACGGAACGTAATCGGTCACAAATATCTCATAGTCAGCAGACACGGCCACTCCGTACCCAAA